TGGAATTATCTATATTGTAAAATAATTTTTTATATGGTGCACACCGGGTGAGAATCAGTCGTGTAACATCAACAGTCTCTCCTGTATCACCATGAAGTAAATGGTTGAGTTTCTTTGATTAAACATTTAATAATAGTGATGTCAACTGGTATACCTCATGATTTTGATAGTTTCTTAAATATATAACGATTAATTTTCTTGACCTAGATCACGAATTTTGTGTAACTAAATATTCACGAATTTATGTAACCGAATATTCGTTTTTAATTGAAATATTCATTTTTAACCACAGATCCAACTTCTACTTCATTTTCTTTACGGTGCTACATATTTTCGAATGAATTTTTCACGGCATTTATTTACTAGTTTTTAAATTATTTTTAATTGAGTTGTCCTTAAGTGTTTATACATTTGCTTTATCTATATGAAATTAGACTTTTTATAAAATAAGTAAGATAGCTAGGTAATATAAATATTCAAAAATTATGGAATGTCAAGACTGTAACAGAGAATTAAAAGAAAAAAGACAATTACACTGGATACAGAATTGCGAAGGATGTAACGAAACGTTAAGATTTTTAGATACTAGTCTTTGTCGTGATTGTTATAATGTAAACAGAGATCATTACACCTCACAAAGAAGGAGGGATCTATTTATTAATGAAAGCAAGCTGTGTGAAATGTGTGACGCTAAAAAACAGATAGAAAAACTTATTAACAACAATAAATTGGTTAATTATTTAATCGATGAGTTAACCAAGACTAGTGAAATGGTTAACAAATTAGAAGGCAAGGTTAGTGAACTTCAAGAGCGGGTTGATCAGCTAGAAGAGAAAGACTCCCAACAAACAAAAAACACTGTTTATAACGTTTTATTAATAGGACGTACTGGTAATGGCAAGTCAACTTTGGCTAATGTTCTAAGTGGAACAACCAAGTTTAAAGAGGGTAAATATGCAGTTAGTGAGACTCGGGACATTCAAGATGCTACATTTGAGTACTTATGCAAAAGATATCGTATAATTGACACCGTAGGAATTGGTGATACTAAGCTTTCTGAGAAAGAAGTATTAGACAAAATGGCTGAAGCAACTTATTCTATTAGAGATGGTCTTTATCAAGTTCTTTTTGTGACTAGCGGTAGATTTACCAAAGAAGAAATAGTGACTTATAATTTGCTAAGGAAAACTATTTTTGACGAAAATATTTCTAAACACACTACCATCGTTAGAACTAAGTTTCCTGAATTTAATAACTAGCAAGAGTGCGATAATGATATT